GTCTGTGTGTGTTAATAACTCTGTACATTTGAAATCGTAACCATTTTCATCTAGATCTATTTCTAAATGTGTTATTGTACTAGTCCACACGCGAGGTCCACAAGGTGTACAGCTGACTGTAGGAGCACTGCATTAGATACTAAGACATTGCAGCCAACAGCGCTGACCAGAAGAGATGGCGGGACACGCACATCACCTCCCCATGACTCTTTTAGCGGGCCGCAATAGTGACAATAACCTTATTCTTCAGTTACCTTGAAGACAATAGCAATTTATGTCGTCTTTCCACCAGATCCGACCGCTACATGTTGGATTGATGGTTGCATACTAAATAAACTGTACCTACGTTCCTCTCATACTCCCCTTTGTGTTATGTGATCTTATATTCATTTAGGATGAAGTTAGTTTGTTTGTTTGTTGTTTAATGCCGCACTCGGCGGTCTGTAAATAATCGAGTCTGGACCAGACAGTCCAGTGATTGACATCATGAGCATTGATCCACGGAATTGGGATACGTTGACATGCATCAACCACCCGATCAGGTTAGTCGCCACCTACGACAAGCAAAGTCGCATTTTACGGCAAGCATGAGTTGCTGAAGACAGTCCTAAGTAGCTCTAGCAAATCGTAAATATAATATACACTCTCCCGGTGTCCTAAATAGCTCATGCATATCGTAAATATAATATACAACGTCCCGGGTGAGAACAGTCCTAAGTAGCTCATGCATATTGTAAATATAATACACACCCTCTCGGTGTCCTAAATAGCTCATGCATATCGTAAATATAATATAACATCCTCCCGGTGTCCTAAATAGCTCATGCATATCGTAAATATAATATAACACCCTCCCGGTGTCCTAAATAGCTCATGCATATCGTTAATATAATATACACCGTCCCGGGTGAGAACAGTTCTAAGTAGCTCATGCATATCATAAGATAATATACGCCCTCCCGGTGTCCTAAGTAGCTCTAGCATATTGTACATACAATACACACCCTCTCGGTGTCCTTAATAGCTCATTGTTTCGGGACACGCAATTCAAAACCAGAGTCGCCAAAGAGCGAGGTGCACGTGCGAAAGGCTCGGGGAACATAATTCACGTGTAGCACGCAAAGTCGGTTCTAAAGAGCGTAACTATTTTTCACAGTTCAGCCCCCCCCTTGAAATAAAGAAACCAGTTTAATGTAACTGGGCCAAGTGCTTCTGTGTCCTGTAGATGCACTCCGACAAGGAAAAGAAGTTGAAAACTAACTGTACATTTTTCTTTGTGTAAGTGTTATCCGTTAGTCTCCTGATGGTTTTAATTATTGTGTTGTTTACACAAACAGCAGACGGCTGATGTGAACTTTTATCCGATGGCGGACCATAGGTTAATTGTGAAAACTGTAGTTAACTGAAAATAAATCTTTGCAGATAGTGTGTAATGATTTATTTGATATATGTCATGATGGGATGTAGGAGATTTTGCGAGCTTCACGTCAATGTACCCTCCCAGAATGGAGATCCTGTCCCGACCTCAAATGACGCGTGTTCCACATAATACGTGTATAGATGGGAGAGTACCAAGCAGAACGTCGGGGTAATCGAGGAGGTGATTGCAAGTGCACGTGTGACACTGTGAGTAGATGAACATTTGCCAGCGTCTAACTCCAGTGTCGTCACATCATACACGATGTTACAGGAACGTCTAGGTGTGTATGGTATCTGCCACCTAGGTGGTAGTGGCGATATTGTTTGACTATGCTTGTCGAACGGAATTATGACCAATGATCAAACGCGAAGCATATTGTGGCGCAGTTAATACTTCTGGTAAATATGTATTAGGATTTTGGCTCTACTTTTTATTATGAATGAAATAAAAATGTGTAAATGAAGAGTGAGTGAGTGAGTATGGTTTTAGGCCGCTTTTAGCAATATTCAAGCAATATCACGGCGGGGGACACCAGAAATAGGCTTCACACATTGTACCCATGTCAGGAATTGAACCCGGGTCTTCGGCGTGACGATCGAACGCTTTAACCACTAGGCTACCCAACCGCCCCTGTAAATGAAGAAATAGACTGACAGTCAGTGTTCGCAGCTGACTGACACAAACAATGGGTTTGGTCTTCACATCAGTCTATATGATGATTGCATAGTAAAATCACCATGTCTGTCCTCCCAGTCAGTCCTTTAGAGACTTGGGGCGGTCGGGTAGCCTAGTGGTTTAAGCGTTCGCTCGTCACGCCGAAGACCCGGGTTCGATTCCCGACATGGGTACAATGTGTGAAGCCCATTTCTGGTGTCACCCGCCGTGATATTGCTGGAATATTGCTAAAAGCGGCGTAAATCAATACTCACTCACTCACTCACTTTATAGACTTGCATCATCCACAACATCGTCTTTGTCAGCTGTTGTGTGATGTTATAAATCCGATGCACGCGTGTGTGCACGAGGAGGTGTATTGCAGAAAGCAAGTGCTTTTTAGTACATTGGAAGGATGCTCACGCACGTACAATGCAGGCAAAGAGCAAGTGCTTTCTAATTTTTTGGGGGAACGATGCTCTAACACGTATACAATGCAGGCAAATAGCAAGTACTTTTTTCTTTCTTTTTTGAACGATGCTCACTCACACATACAGTGCAGGCAAATAGCAAGTGCTTTTTATTTATTTATTTATTTATTTATTTATTTATTTATTTATTTATTTATTTATTTTTATTATTTATTTATTTATTTTATTATTATTATTATTATTATTTTTTTATATTTTTTTGGGGGGGGGATGCTCTCTCACACGTACAATGCAGGCGAAGAGCAAGTGCTTTTTTATTTTTTGGGTACGATGCTCACTCACACGTACAATTCAGGCAAATAGCAAGTACTTTTTATGTCTACTGGTTCCTTTTGCTATTTAGGAATTTTAGAATTTATATTTTTTTCCGTTTCAACGGCAAGTTTGACTTTGACTCTGTTCATAGTGGTGTTTATGTCCGGGCCATATCTCTAAAATTAATAGGTATTCTTTCATGAAACTTTGCACACACACAGAGACCAGGTTGTCTGCTAGGGCAAATTGCGATTTGGGTATTTGTTAAATTTATATTGTTTTACGTTTCCACGGCAAACTCTTGACTTTGACTGGTTAGACCACAAGATTGTCTGGATAGCTATTCACCAGTGAAGGTAACCAAAGTAAGACAAGGGACATGTTTAGTGTAAACATGTTTATATATATATATCTGTTAAGCTGCAATATATATAAGATTTGATAAGGATAATGCCATATCATTATTATCGTTGGCAACAGTGTATCAATGTGGAAGTGGATTATGTTGTTAAATAAGTCATTTAAGGTCTTTAAGTCGAGTTTGTCTGTGTGATGCTCAGCACATACCAATCACCCCGTATATGGTAGGTACTGTTAAATTTTGAAAAGCATTAAATACCAATTAAATACTACACCAGGTTGAATAGGACATGAACAGTTTTGGAAATTATTATACGAGGGGCGTTCAATAAGTTTTGCAACTTCGGCATTTGTGTTTACACAAACAATGTGAACTTGTGGCAGGTGTGACACACACTAGTCATAACATCAGGTTGACACGTGTCATAGCAAGTTCCAGACACAACAATGAGCTAGATGTGATGGCTTCATTCACCTAAGGGTGGTCACAATCATGGATTCTCTCAAACATGAACAACGCGCTGTAATAAAGTCCCTTACCAAGGAGGGATGCAAAGCAAAAAAGACATCCATGATCGCATGTGTAAAGTGATGGGTAAGGATGCTCCTGACTATTCCACAGTTTGCCGGTGGTCTCTACAGTTTAAAAGGGATAGGGAGTCCATAGACGATGACTTAAGGTCAGGCAGGCCTTCAGATGCCACCCAACCGGAAACTATTGCTGCTATAGAAAGAAGAATTTTGTCTGACCAACGAGTGAAATTATCTGAACTTTCTAGGGAATTCCAAATATCAGTTGGAACTGTTGTAACCATTATTCATGAGCATCTTGGTATGTCCAAGTATCTGCAAGATGGGTACCTAGAAACCTCTGAGCTCAAGAACGCCATCAGAGAAATGAAAGTTGTCGAGACCTCCTGGATCTCTATACTGCTGATGAAGCCGGATTTCTTTCTCGACTAGTGACAGGTGATAAAACGTGGATCCACCACTGGGACCCAGAAACTAAATTGGAATCCATGCAATGGAAGCAACCCAATTCTCCGCCTCCGAGGAAGTTTCGCACTCAACCATCGGCTGGCAAGGTAATGGCCACAATATTTTGGGATGCAAGAAGCACATTACTGATTGATTACATGCCACCAAAAACTACAATCAATGGACAGTATTATGCTAATGTAATGAAAGAATTGCGAAAATCTCTTCGCCAGAAACGCCGTGGGATGTTAACACGTGGTATTCTACTTTTGCATGACAACGCTCCGGTTCACAAGTCGAGAATTGCACAGGCCGCCATTTGTGAATGTGGATTCGAACAGTTAAATCACCCACCCTACAGCCGAGACTTAGCCCCCAGTAACTATTTCCTGTTCCGGCAAATGAAATCTGCCCTACGAGGAAGAGTCTTCAAGGATGACGAGGACATAACGGCTGCCACAGAGGCGTGGTTAGAGGGCCAATTTGCGGATTTCTATAAAAAGTGGTATTAAAAGCTTGAAGGACAAATAGAATAAGTGTATTGGGGTGAATGGGGATTATATTGAAAAATAAAAGTGCAAAAGATATTCTGCGACTCGGTCTTATATTGAAGTTGCAAAACTTATTGAACGCCCCTCGTAATTTACATTTTTTGAATTCATGTTTTAAGTGATATGAATTACTTCAGCTATGTTTTATATTCTATTTTCTATGTGTTTACATTTGAGTTCATAATTAATATGTGTGACGGCTTACTGTACATTTTCCCGTGTGTAGATTTTGTACCTCAGTAAAGCAATTTCCTATCTGTGAGAGCTCAGTGTCCATGTCCCCTGTTTCAGGTGCAGGAACACCTGTGAAGTACATGATCAACTCGTGCAAGTCTCGTGTTCCCATCTATGTGAATTCAAGTCTAATATTGGAGCTGACGCGTGAGTTTGCAGACGACCGTTCACTTATTGGCTTCAGACACTGCGCGGTTGACGTGGAAACGACCCCATCACAGCGGTTGTTCCTCCACTACGAGGCTATCAGCATCTCTGCCGAGGCGGGAACCAAAGACAGGTGACGTCTCTACAAACGGTTTAGGTGTACACAATAACAACTGTTTAATAAAATTTCTTTTTTTAGTTACCATTTGTAGTCATGCTGCATAACTTGTCACAAAATAATAAATGAATTAAACACAAACAAAATACGTGACGCACGCATGACAAATAATTACTTGGTAATCCAGGTTAAGTTGAACCAACTCACAAAATGTGTTTGAGACATGTAGGCGGTGCACAGAATTTGGGCAAACATATTTGGTTTGTAACAGGTGAAGATGATGTACGCATGTTGTGCATGTGCTGGTCATGACGATGAAATTGACTACAGTCCGTTTGACTCCAAATGAGAACGATGAATTGCAAAATAACTCGAAATCCAGAAAAGTGTATGAAACATCAATACGGTACTTGACCATGAATACCCTGTACCCAACAAAATCTGAATTTTGTTTAATTTAAGACCCATGACGGATGAAGTTCTTTAAGAAACTATCATGTAATTTTGTATAGAAATGTGTACATGACACGTAGGGGGACAAACCGTGGAAGGAATAGCGCAAGCACGGTCTGCACGTGCTACACAGTCACCGTGTTCATTCAATGACAAGATGCGCTACTCAGCAGATGTTAAACAGTTGATGTTGAATGTGTATGATTTCTTTAGAAGTGAAGCAGAAAGAGCAAAAACTGTTTATGCAATTAATAAATTCTTGAAACGAGCTTCAAAAGCTCTTGGTATGTCCCCTCAGAAACCTAAAAATGTTGTTTGTCGACGAGATACAAATAGTCAGGCCAAGGAGGTAGGGAACATGTCAAAACCACGCAAGGTTGATAAATTAGACAGTTTTCAGAGGGATCAAGTCAGACGTGCAATTGTTAAACCGCACTCAGAAAATAAGTACCTGTCCCTAAGAATTTTGAAGAAACACCTTGAAACTGACCATGATTTACGTGTTACAAAGTACAAACTATGGCAGCTGTTGCATACATTTGGTTACAAATACAAAAAGATAACTGGAGAAAATAGGGCTGTGTTGTGTGAACGGTCTGACATTGTTCGTCTCCGAAATCATTACCTTCGTACCATCAAGCAGAAACGTGAAGAAGGATATGAGCCCGTCTTCTTAGATGAGACATGGGTAAATGCGTCACACACAGCCAGCAGTTAGTGGGTACCCAGTGCTGACTGTAAGGAGTCTGGTAGAAAGTTACCAATGGGAAAGGGTGAAAGACTCATAGTTCTCCATGCGGGTTCTGCTAGTCAGGGTTTTCTCCCAGACTGTGACCTCGTCTTTAGAGCCAAGGCCAAAGACAACAGGGACTACCACACAGAAATGATCGGCTATGTATTTCTGGAGTGGGTGAAAGATAAATTAGTCCCTACTTTGCCTACCAAGTCTCTCATTGTCATGGACAATGCACCGTATCATAGTGTGCAGGATCCAGAAAGCAAGACTCCAACCTCTAATAACCGTAAAGGAGACATGGTTACTTGGCTGCAACGGGGGAACATTACCTTTCCTTCTCGAGCGACGAAACCACAGCTCTATGAAATCATCAAAACTATGAAACCTGACTCCGTGTATAAAGTTGACAGTTACATCAAGGGTCAGGGTCACGCTGTCTTACGACGGCCACCTTATCACTGCGACCTGAATCCAATTGAGTTGGTATGGGGCATCGTCAAGGGTGACGTTGGACGATCGAACACAACGTTCAAATTACGAGACGTTGAACAACTCGTAAAGGAATCCCTTGGTCGGGTAACAGTAGAAACTAGAGGCGTTGTGTGGCCACAGTCGTTGACGAGATAGAGCCACGTTATTGGTCACGAGATGGACTACGGCCAGCAACAGTCCAACCTATAATAGTGGCAGTCGGTTCAGGCACCAGCAGTTCCGACGACGAGATCTATGGCATGAGAGAGTCAGATTGCGACTGAAATTATCATGAGCCGGCCCCTCTAACGCTCTGTCATTTCCCATACCACAGAACGTGCAGTGCATGCGTGCTTGCGCTGTGCCTTCCACGGTTTGTCCCCCCTGCGTGTCATGTACACATTTCTATACAAAATTACATGATAGTTTCTTAAAGAACTTCATCCGTCATGGGTCTTAAAATAAACGAAATTCAGATTTTGTTGGGTACAGGGTATTCATGGTCAAGTACCGTATTGATGTTTCATACACATTTCTGGATTTCGAGTTATTTTGCAATTCATCGTTCTCATTTGGAGTCAAACGGACTGTACACTTCCGTGGAGACACGTGTTGCTCATAAGACAATTTAGAATTCGGTGTGACAAGTCGATAATAGATTTCTCTAAAAGTCGTTTGACAGAAGTTAATTACAAATAAACATGTCAAAGCTAGGTCAGAATGGCAAACATTCTCCTCGTCATTTTCAGGCTCGAGAACTGGCATATAATGTCATAGATTACATGGAGAAAGAACGTACACATACATTTCAAACATTGTCAAAAGCTGGTATTGCCTCTGGTCTGTCTGTATCTACGCTAAAGCGCACCAGAGCAGAATGTATCGTTCGTGACAAAGGCGAGAGTAGTTTCATCACCCCAAGTAAGTCACGAAATTGTCCAGTTATCAAATTCCAACTTGACCATTTCGATCAATACCCTGTTCGCCAATTTGTCATCGGGTACCTCACATCAGTACGTACTATTATGTGCTATTGAACTCGACACTAGAAATCGTTGCTAGCTGAGACAGGACACGCACATATCCATCGTACTACTTGTCGCGGACCACCCGCTACCCCTTTCTTTACAATGGTATGATCCAGTTGGCTGACCTCATACATAGTCATGCGGGGTTAAGTGTCAAGTCACAACTCAACTTATCCTGGCTCACCGGTCGTTATAGCACATGATACTTTTACGAGCGCCTCACTGTAGAATATATTTATGGAGCTTCAAATGGATCACTGCTCAATAATAGTGAAAGGGACAAGACGAATCTGACTATAGCATATGTTTATGAATCACTTTCAAATCACTATCAAAACAGGGTCATCTCTTCAAAGCCAAAGGTAATGCATTTTTCATTTCAAATTCACCGTTTGATAACATATTTTAACTGACAGTTTAGTTTGTCTCACTGCTACTAATCCGAACTCTCTGACTTTAGTTGTACAAGAAACCTGGTGAGCATTGACCTGCCTTGTGCATGTATTCACGTGTTATTTGCATCCACTTGCTGTATGGAGTCATATGACTAGTGTGTTCACAGACAGGTACACAAAGCAACGATGAGAATCCCCGAATACTTGTCAATGAATGCATTTTCCCTAAACGTAGTGTTAAACAGTCATGGCTAATTGTGGGAAACTCTTAGACAGTATTCCTGGTACATATTTATGAAGGGATGTGTGTTTCATATCTAAGAGTAACACATGGTGCAATGTACGTTGGTTTATTTTTACATTGAAGGTGACGCAAACACCTACTTTGGATGCCAGTTAGAGCCTAAAGATTTACAGATCTACTGATCTACTGTTAATGTACTTTCTGTTACAACGCGTTGAATAAGTATATGACATTACTTGCATTGTTTTCTATTCCACCCAGATATCACGTGGGTGACACTCGGTACCTACACGCCCCTTTCTACTTGCATTGTTTTCTATTCCACCCAGATATCACGTGGGTGACACTCGGTACCTACACGGCCCCTTCTACTTGCATTGTTTTCTATTCCACCCAGATATCACGTGGGTGACACTCGGTACCTACACGGCCCCTTCTACTTGCATTGTTTTCTATTCCACCCAGATATCACGTGGGTGACACTCGGTACCTACACGGCCCCTTCTACTTGCATTGTTTTCTATTCCACCCAGATATCACGTGGGTGACACTCGGTACCTACACGGCCCCTTCTACTTGCATTGTTTTCTATTCCACCCAGATATCACGTGGGTGACACTCGGTACCTACACGCCCCTTTCTACTTGCATTGTTTTCTATTCCACCCAGATATCACGTGGGTGATACTCGGTACCTACACGGCCCCTTCTACTTGCATTGTTTTCTATTCCACCCAGATATCTCGTGGGTGACACTCGGTACCTACACGGCCCCTTCTACTTGCATTGTTTTCTATTCCACCCAGATATCACGTGGGTGACACTCGGTACCTACACGCCCCTTTCTACTTGCATTGTTTTCTATTCCACCCAGATATCACGTGGGTGACACTCGGTACCTACACGGCCCCTTCTACTTGCATTGTTTTCTATTCCACCCAGATATCACGTGGGTGACACTCGGTACCTACACGCCCCTTTCTACTTGCATTGTTTTCTATTCCACCCAGATATCACGTGGGTGACACTCGGTACCTACACGGCCCCTTCTACTTGCATTGTTTTCTATTCCACCCAGATATCACGTGGGTGACACTCGGTACCTACACGGCCCCTTCTACTTGCATTGTTTTCTATTCCACCCAGATATCACGTGGGTGACACTCGGTACCTACACGGCCCCTTCTACTTGCATTGTTTTCTATTCCACCCAGATATCACGTGGGTGACACTCGGTACCTACACGGCCCTTTCTACTTGCATTGTTTTCTATTCCACCCAGATATCACGTGGGTGACACTCGGTACCTACACGGCCCCTTCTACTTGCATTGTTTTCTATTCCACCCAGATATCACGTGGGTGACACTCGGTACCTACACGGCCCCTTCTACTTGCATTGTTTTCTATTCCACCCAGATATCACGTGGGTGATACTCGGTACCTACACGGCCCCTTTCTACTTGCATTGTTTTCTATTCCACCCAGATATCACGTGGGTGATACTCGGTACCTACACGGCCCCTTCTACTTGCATTGTTTTCTATTCCACCCAGATATCACGTGGGTGACACTCGGTACCTACACGCCCCTTTCTACTTGCATTGTTTTCTATTCCACCCAGATATCACGTGGGTGACACTCGGTACCTACACGACCCCTTCTACTTGCATTGTTTTCTATTCCACCCAGATATCACGTGGGTGACACTCGGTACCTACACGCCCCCTTCTACTTGCATTGTTTTCTATTCCACCCAGATATCACGTGGGTGACACTCGGTACCTACACGACCCCTTCTACTTGCAGATTACACATCTATGATTACAATGATGACGGTAAGCGGGTGCGCGTGACCCCACCGAACGGTATCTATGGAGTGCTGGAACATCCATACTACAACACCGCCAGAGTTCCCGTCCGTGATTACAAGTCTTCTAGCAACAAGATCCGTGTGGACTATTTCGGGAAACCGACCGTGATGTACCAAGGATTCCGTCTACTCCTAACAGTCTACAGGCGTACGTGCCTTGTACCCGTGTACTGTTGTTCGAGACTGGCGTTAAGCGATAGGTCCTGTTGCTGCTTGCTGCTCGGCAGTGGGATAATATCAAAGATCAGACAGTATGAAAAGCTGCGAACCCAGTGTCGGATAACACCATTAAAGAGTGTTGACAGAATTGTTACATACATATGATATTGATAATTATGTATATGTGTGTGTGTGTGTGTGTGTGTGTGTGTGTGTGTGTGTGTGTGTGTGTGTGTGTGTGTGCTACTGATTTTACTTATATATTCGAAGACTAGTGAAAAGTATGTGCAGGGCGAATGTGGCCACTGTGTGACGATATCACATCTCGTGATATGCATTGAACGTCGTTGCACGTCTTACACGTGAGTTGATGCTAATGTGGTTAGCATGTCTTTCATGAACGTATATACCCAACGGTGGCTGTGAAATATTCAGTTCGCACATTTCTGACATTAAGGTGATAATAACCTGTGTAAAGCCGATCATGAATGAACGAACTTCCATACCATGTTTATGTAGGGAGGGGGCACAGGGAGTTGTTTTAATTTCGTCTTGGCTTTATTATCTTAGATTGTTACTAACAATGTTGGATGAACATTTGTATTTAATTCCCATAACTGATGTTACAGCCACACAGAGGCATGGCGGATGTGGAGGGGGCCTTCTAACATGTGTGACTGAGCGTATCTGCATATCCCCAAGACTTCACTGTGATGGGCTCGCCAACTGTGGCAGCCTGGACGGCTCGGATGAACACCATTGCCGGGGCAGAGCCCAGGCCACCACCGACCTTCTGGAGTCTTGTGAGTCACGAGTAGTTTTAGGGAGTTGTTGTTTACACCGAGTACATTATACAGCGTATTTCTTGTATCCATCTGTGATTTGAATTGCATTGTGTTCAGGCAGTATTGTAGATGCAGCTGTTTGTGGCACCAGTACAGATATGTCTAGTTTTAACGTCTTGTTAGGAGTTTGTGATATGCACAGTTAGATTCTCCGAACCTTTCTGAGAGTACTGCATTGCTCCTCGTGACATGGACCACAACGCAGCATTTAAAACGCATTCATTCTTTAGTGGGTTTCATTTGATCAAAACCACTATTTTTCTGTGTGTCGCAGCTGTGAGACTTTAGGCAGAAAGTGCTTCGCAAAATTACTGATACGCTTTGTATTTAACAATGTCGATAAACTCTAAGTGCTGTCATTCTTGCGTGTGTCTTTGAACCAAACATAAAATTCATCTAAAAATTGGCAAATCTGAAAGACATAATGTTTATCTGATTAAAGTTCACCAACCCAGGTGGTAGTTCAACCAGATTGAACATTATCAGAAGTCAATGTTTCAGATTCCGTAGTACACGCAGTTGCTGCAGCAATCGTGTCGTGTGCTGTCTTCCTCCTGGTCGCTACAGCCGCTATGTGCTGGGTGAAGACACATAACCACAAGCTGTAAGTTATATGGTGTCACTCTCTTCAATATGAGTGCATCACTCAGACATGACAACTACTTCTGATAAATCAGACATATTTGTGTGATACCGAGATGGTATTTACTTATTTGATTTAGTCATAAACATAATTATATGCAATCATATTCTTAAGACACATCTATCCATGTAATCTGTATCTACAAAAGCAGATGTTAGCCACAACTTAACTTCGCCATTTGGTAAATATTCTCATAATCAATGCTTGGACAACATGTATCAAGATATTAACCACAACTAGCGGTCTCCCACTTTCCCTACTTAAGTCATTGGAATTTAAAGAAACGGAGTGTCACACTCTAAGAGTGTTTAATGCATATTATATAGATATGTGATTCGGACTAGGTATAATATACGTGCTGTTATCCAATATGTATGTATGTGTTTTGCAGTGAGTACAAACCAAAGTCCTGTGTGCGTTGGACCAGCAATGGCACTGTGCGTACTTCCATGACGCGGCTGTACGCTCCCCCGTCCTATGAGAGTGTTGTGGTCGACACAGAAGATAACTTAGGACCCCCTCCAGACTACAGTGTAGTTGCAGCATCAGGCCCCCACATCAGGGAGGATAACCACAAGTCTCCAAACGATCTGAAACCATCGTATTCTTCCGTTGAAGTCGCTATACTACACGAACAGCCCAGGGAATTGTCCATGGAGCTGAATACTACTGAGGACCACGCCCCCTCACTGTCAACTGACAGTAGCGATACTGACCCTGATTCAGGATCAAAAGAAACTTGGGAAGCTACATCTGATTATGTCTCCCGCAACTCCTCGCCTTATGCGGATAGCTTACGAAAACATGCTGGGAGCATTTCTGAGAAAGGCATTGGTACATTGGTAACCCTCTAGCATATCCTGACAGCAGTTTTACAACCTGCCAAATCAAATCTTCCAACAGCAATCGATGGGCATAAACTGTGCATGTGTTCTCTTTCATAAATCATCTTGCAACTGTATTATTTCACGTTTACTGCAACAGTTATTGGTGGATTTGGTCACTTCGGTTCCCCAACAAGGCAACATTTCACAAAATAACCTTAACATTACGACTGTCGTATACTTTAACATTTGTGTGAACATTCAAACCAGTCAAATCTGTGAATATTAAGGAAGTCAGAGCCATAATACATTGATGGTTTCACAGACTATAGTCTGAAAACAATTGGTGTTGTAATGTTAAGACAGTTCTAGTACATTATGCTGCCGGGTTTTTTCAGTGATGAAATGAAGGTTACACTTTAACGAACGATGTTCTGTTGTTTTTTAAAGTAGTCATGGGTAGATTAAATACTGTGTTAAAGATCGTAACACATTTCAAAATTCAACTGGTTTGTTTTTATCGATTTTGAGAGCCCGGGTCAAGTCTGATGAATGACTTAAAATACTTGTTTGATAGGCATTACTTAGAAGTTGGCGGATGACAAGATAGACACAATTTTATGGATAACAACTTCTTTAATACTGTAAAAAGCGACGTTTCGGTATAGATCCTTATACCGTTGTCAAGCAAGACTGAATGAGGGACATAGTGCAGAATATATATAGCAAGTGGAGGATTAACAGTAGAGGATTAACAGTAACAACAAGGGCATACATGTGTGGGATAACATAGGTAGGTGTGACAACAAGGATGATGCTATCACAACACGATGGACAGGAAACACATAGCTAGAAGCCAATGGGGCATGAAGCCAATAAACAGGTGATTATTGTTTGATGAGTTCATAGTAGGCGGATGGGATGAAATAGCCTTGATCTCTGTTGATTGTTGGGTTGTGGCGGCGAATGTGGACTGCTTCTGTTAGTTTTCTTTTGGTGAAATCATGGAGGTTGTTGGCGAGGATTTGGACGTTGTCCCAGTTGATGACCACCCTCTCAGAACCAAGACTGGCATCATCTCCACCCTTACCAAACGTGCCATCAACCTTTCCTCTGCTGACCCCAAACCTAAGATCCCACACCTCCGCCAAGTCTTCACCCACCTCAACAATTATCCGGCCAAACTAGTCGACAAAGTCATCGCCTCTGTACTCTATCCCACACCCAGACATGCGGCCCCTAAACCCGAATCAGCGCCCTTCCGCATCGCCCTCCCGTTCATAGGAAAAGCCTCCCACATCATCAGCCGCCTCCTCAAACAGCAAGCCAACATCCACACCCACTTCACCAGCTCCAACTCCCTCAACACCCTGCTAAGAGCCAACGGCAGGAACACATCTAAACCCCAAGAGGTTAAAGGTGTAGTCTACAAAGTTGACTGCAACTGCGGGCAATCTTACGTAGGTGAAACCTCCCGCCCAATCAACACTAGAATCAAAGAGCATAAAACCTCCACCATCAAATCCGACAGCAAATCAGCCATCTCGGACCATATCATCAACTGTCCCAATCACATCATCAACTGGGACAACGTCCAAATCCTCGCCAACAACCTCCATGATTTCACCAAAAGAAAACTAACAGAAGCAGTCCACATTCGCCGCCACAACCCAACAATCAACAGAGATCAAGGCTATTTCATCCCATCCGCCTACTATGAACTCATCAAACAATAATCACCTGTTTATTGGCTTCATGCCCCATTGGCTTCTAGCTATGTGTTTCCTGTCCATCGTGTTGTGATAGCATCATCCTTGTTGTCACACCTACCTATGTTATCCCACTCATGTATGCCCTTGTTGTTACTGTTAATCCTCTACTGTTAATCCTCCACTTGCTATATATATTCTGCACTATGTCCCTCATTCAGTCTTGTTTGACAACGGTATAAGGATCTATACCGAAACGTCGCTTTTTACAGTAATAAAGAAGTTGTTATCCATAAAATTGTGTCTATCTTGACTTAAAATACACCTGAGTGTCCTGAGAGAAAAATGACTTCCTTTCCTCAAATGTACTTACTGTCGTATATTGTGTCATTATTTGCTGAGTGTTCAAGACAAATGTTGCGACTTTGCGTTTTCACAATTTTGCTGTCTATTGCAATAATCAAACGACGGATAGGTACAAATTTCAACATTGCTCTGGCGTTGTAAATCTTCAAATATCATTTTGGAAAGGTTTGATTTTGTCAAAACTGTCAGAATATCAGGAGTCTTTTCATAACATATTCCAAAAAAGTTTCAGTTTTTACACGTCACGTTTGCAGTAATTGACCCGGGCTTTCAAAATCGATAAAAGCAAACCAGTTGAATCTTGAAATGGGTTACGATCTTTAACACAGTATTTAATCTACCCATTAATACTTTAAAAGACCCCAGAACATCGTTCGTTTAAGTGTAACCATGCATTGTCCCTCTTCACTCGCAACTCAATCTTCAGGTCTTCCTCAACCCATGCTTGTCGTAAGAGGCAACTAACGGGATCGGGTGGTCAGTTGCGTGGATCGATGCTCATGATATTAATCACTGGATTCTCTGGACCAGACTCGATTAGTTCCAGACCGCCGTCATATAGCTTGAATATTGCTGAGTGCGGCGTTAAACAACAAACCAACCAAAGCCATCAGAAGTGTTTGGTCAGTATTGGTCCGGGCGGTTGAAAGCAACTGCAGCCTCAGAGGCGTATCATGGGAACTACGTACATGTAAGTATATAGAGTAGTGTTATATCTACTTAAATACCACTTTATAATGTCAGAGATCGTGATATTTAAAGCAAACACGTTGGTCAAAATGAAGCCCTTTTTCAAATACTTGCAGTCTGTCTTCCTCTTCATTTTCAACATAGTCTCAATCAAAAGTGGATCGTGCATGAGCGTCTGCCCGGAGAGTGGAAGGACGGTGGTTCGATCCCCTGGCTACCTCATACCCAAAGAAAGAGAATAGTATTTATAAGTTATAGCAGGATCGCTTGTGGTACATGGCGTTTTATGCGTCCTGCATTAGGTTTTATAACACGAGGCGGAATGGTATAAAACCTAAAGCTGGACGCATAAAACCCAATGTACCACGACTGATCCTACTACAACGAATTATTCTTTTAATATGACATTGTACAAAAATTAAAACCAATTCAAAATTGATAGAAACCAGCCATTCGATTGAGCTGAGGTTTGCTGTGTCATGTGACTTTCATTAATTTGGAAAAAGCGTGAGGTCTTTTGCTTCGAAGCGGGGTATAAGGGATTTATTCTGCCTCTCAGAAACCAACGTGCAGTCTGTTTTGCTCGTGGCGGGGTATAAGAGATTTATTCTCCCGCAGACAAATATATTTCCCTCCAAGGCGGGATACATCGTACTTTATCAAGATCACGTGGACCAATCCAATCTCATTCTGACATGTGATAATACTTGTTGTTACCCTGCCTGACGTTCGACATTAAGGGGATAACACAAGGAGTGGTCGGTTCGGAAGTCAATATAATGCGTCTGTCACACACGTGTGCAATAACCTTGATCGCGACATGAAACGTGGCAACCCCATTTGACCTAAATGGGATCGGGAGACAGTGAGTGTGAGTGAGTGAGTTTGATTTTACGCCGCTTTTAGCAATATTCCAGCAATATCACGGCGGGGGACACCAGAAATGGGCTTCACACATTGTACCCATGTCGGGAATCGAACCCGGGTCTTCGGCGTGACGAGCGAACGCTTTAACCTCTAGGCTACCCGACCGCCCCTGGATCGGGAGACAAGCTTTAAATATTTAGTAACACTTATTTCCAGACTAATAGTTAATCAGCTCAGGGAACACCTCCACTTGCACCACGCGGGTGACGGTGTTCTCAGAAGAAAGTTAGTTCGTGTATATCTTTATTTAGGAGAATGTTGATGAAACATTTTGGGTGCTTGTTTTATGTATTTTGTTCCAAAACATGTGGTCGAAATAAATATATTTCTTTCTAAAATGATGTCAAACAATATTTCTGGTCGAGTTTAAAAAAAGTAAAGAAATAAATTCCCTCCAAATATATTGTTCTTTTGAAGTTTTTGTTTCATAACCGAATTCACCTGACAGGCTCGGCGGAAGAAAATATCATTATAACCCACATGGTTAGAAATAACCGAGTTTATAAAAATCGTATGTGCACTGGTGCATATATCACTTCACGGACAGCACTGTATTGTTTACGTCATCTGGACGGCATTGTTGACATCATTCGTGTCTTATGACGTAAGCTTGATTTGGCGTCACCCTAGAAACGATGTCATAGCTGAAGATTGTTAACGGATTCGAGAATAATTGTTTTCTAACATGATTACTAGCACTGTATACACCCCGACCTATATAGCTGACTGGTTTTGGGACTGATCCATTATCAACACCGGATGTAATTTTATGAGTGTAGGTGAACTACAACACTATATCACCATTTCTGTAGCCAGAGCGACTTGGCGAAAAATCAGTGGTGATGCCAGGTGTTTCCTACAAGGGTAAGCATGTTCTGCCCAACAGCACCCTGAACGATTTGCATGAAAATGTAAGTGTTTGTACACTATTAAGTTAACGCTTATGTCAATCGACCGCACAAGCAATACCTCATGTAAGAGTCAGTGTTGGATAATAAGTACACAAATTAAATTTCTTTGAAATGGATGGAGTCACGAGGGGTAGGACTTGTAGCTAGTATTTCAACCAGTTCACACTTGGTCCTCGTGAGCTACATTGTGATGTAAGTACATGGATCGTCATAAGACAAGGAGAAATAAAACGAGAAAAATGTCCAAATACACATAACTAAATAATGAAACTCCCCTGCGTATGACTAATCTACGGTGCCTCATAACACTATTTAAACCATACTAGGGAGTTATTTATCAGATATGTCTCGTATACTACTTAAAAGAAGTTGAGGATCACCCGATTCTTCCATATACTATAATTAATCTGTCATGCGTTAAACAACACGACATAATTACTGTAGTAATAAGATGGGTCCATAGGTGGATACAGCTTTTCTGGGCAAGGTGGCTGTAGACTTTCGTAAAATTTCAAAAGATCTTCTTCGTTATTTGTAGTAATATAGGTAATGGTGATTCTGGACCACTTCCACTGGAGCCAGATTTATATACCTATACTGCTACTACAGATGGAATTTTTTATGCAAAAACGATGATGCGATTCAACGATCGTCATGAGTCGTATTAAAAGAAACATCAATATTAATTAATAATGAATAAAATTTACTATAGCCCACGAGGTTATTGGAAAAGTACAGGAGCAATACAAAAATTAGCCACCGCGGCTAAGGCATCTAAAGATGTGGCCAAGGATTGGCTAAAGAAACAAGCGATGTGGCA